GCATGCTCGACGCTGACGAAAACTCAAAGACTGGATACGTCATGCGGGGTGGCAGATTGAGAAGCGAGTCGGCGGGAAGTGGCTTCCTCCTCAGAAGCCAGCAACGGAGTTCTTCCGCACTAGACAGCATCGACCCGTATACCGGCCAAGCTCGCAACTTCGACAGTGGTAGCAACTTTACGCCGACAACACCAGGTGAAGTTAGTACATTCTCTTTCTTGCCGTCACCTGCTGCAGCCACACGACCTCCCGCTGCTGTCACCGTCGAATCTGCCGATCCTTACTATCGACCTCCGCGACGGCGTGGCGACACTCTCAATGGATCATCCACGTCCCTTCCTCACAGGGCCTCCGTCGCAGACTCTCGACGGTACAGCCAGGGGGGAGCACACCTCGGCGACACTACAGCAGACTTGGAAGCACAACTGTCAAGGGGCCCAACACCCGCCCCCCAAGCCATCAACTTGACTCCGAGAGCAGATTATTCAACGAGAGAAGTGGACTTCTACTACGGCGTTCGAGGACCCGCTCTCAACTCGGAGGGCATCGGCCGTAAACTGAGAACTGGCCCGGCCGACCCGACCAAACCAATGGCTACTGCTGCAGGATGGTTCCGCAACATGTTTGGGGGCAAAACAAAGGAGAAGGGCAAAGGATTCGAAGTTGTGCGAAGCTCGCGGATGCCACCGGCCATGCGTGCAGCCGCCGACGCAGAGTACGACGCCGAGCCCCCACCAGAGGGAATACCGGTGGCCATGGGTGTTTTGAGAAACGGGCCCATTGAATCGGATGACGATGAACCGAAGAACAAAGCGGCACGGAAGCACCCCGAGAATGCAGAGAACTCGGAAAACCTGCTCAACGATGATGGTGTTTCGGTCATCTCGGTCGAATCGGAAATCGAAGAAATCGGAATACAGAAAGTGTCTGATGCACCACCAACCTTGCCAGGCATCGCGAGTTCTGGCAGCTTCAAGCTGCCCAGTCGGGTCCCTTCCAAGGCAAGCAGATCAGCCTCACAGAAACACAGGCGCCAATCCACGGAGTCGGACATACCCGAAATACCTCGGAAAAGCTCAAAGAGAGATTCTGGCATGGGTCGGGGGCATTCCCCAGCTCCATCGTTCAACCTTATACCGCCAACGTCGCCTGCTGGGCCATTACATGGCGAGCCTTCAGGAAGCACAACGGCACAGGGTAGCCTTACGTCGTCTCCAAACCCCGGGCGACTTCCCTTCGAGCGAACAGAATCTCATCAAAAACGACTCTCTTCCAACGGTTCATCCCTGGAAGAATTTAACATCCGTAGAACGCCAAGCACCGAGCGGCCAACCAGCTATGGGGTAGTCGCGCAACACAGCATCAGCAGAGTCGACCCTGGCTCCGATCAGCATGTCGATCTACTCGGCACTTCTGCCGAGCTCGTCGACGAACGAGGGTCTTCCAGCAGGAGCTCGTCGGCGGGAGCCAGAGGTCAGTAGTGCAGGTTGTGACTTTACTAATGCGTACTTTCCTTTTTTCTTTCTATTTCATTCTGTCTAGGTCACTTGATGCCATCTCAAGGTGGTTAATGAGCCTCATTGTACACGATGTATAAATTCACAAGAGGGGCTAATTCCTCTGAGCAAGCGGAGCGGGATATGGTCGGGAACGGAGTACGGTTGGTTCAATTGTCCTTGGTGATTATTAGCGACGGCGTCTCAAAAACCGGACCAGGCTGGTATCTGATGGGCGGCCTGCCATTCTTATCATCGAGGATCTCGTTATTTTATGGACGATGGCGGGGCCAGGAATTATATCTAGTTATGACACTGCCTCACCAGGTTGCTCAGTCCCAGATCAACATCTTAATGAATGACTATTCTTTTCACTTGCTCGTAGTATATCGCAGTCCCACGGATTCATGCTCTCAGAGTTGCCGTAAACCATGCAGCTGGGTTCGGCTGGGCTATTACGGTACGGAACAGTCGGCTTTTTTCTCGGTCTTGGGTACGCCGGACTACGATGGTCTATTACAGGTACACCACGTAAACTTTAGTGATTTACTGAGCCACTAAGTTTGACGTTGATCCCAGTCTGACGATCAAGAATACCATGATTAAAGGTGAAAAAGGTAATGGGTCTGACTACCTAGTTCACCACCCAACTATAGCGCGTCGGTGAGGATCGGTGAGGATCGGTGAGTGGGAGGTTCTCGGTGTAGAATAACCCCGCCATCGTCATGGCGTTATCGATAAGATCACAACGATGCGATAAGAATTTTTTTCGACTGGTCCAGTTTGAACCCACCATTGCGACTCTGACTTGCCTCATGAGTGCAGCTCATTCCTCACTCATATTGATCAATTAGATTCCTTCCAACGCATTCATGAAAATTTCATAAACCTTCAGTCAAGAATTATCAGATACCTCTTCGCCTGAACAGCAAATATTCTCAAAACAAAATGGCGCCAACTCGCCCCAACAAAAAGTCAAAAAAGAGAACACAAAAGAAGCCCGCCAACGCGGCTCACAAGCTGGTCGAAGCCGCCACAAAACTGACAGAAGGAGACTTGGAGAGCGCCTACTCAGCTGGCAAGGAAGCCCTCGATGTCACAGGTGCAGGGGGCGACTATGAGCTGGCGGCGTTGAACCTCCTGGGCCAAATCAGCATCGAGATGGGCGAGGTCGACGAGGCGAGGGCGTACTTCTTGCGCGCCGTCGAGCTGGACCCCGAAGGCGCCCTCGACGAGCGCATAGGCGGCGGGCCGGAAAAATTTCTCTGGCTCGCGCAGCTCAGCGAGGAGGGAGGGCAGGATAGCGTCAACTGGTTCGACAAGGGCGCGCAGTCGCTGCGGGGCCAGATCCAGGCGCTTGTGGACGTCGGCGACAAGAAGCGCAGCGCCGAGCAGGGGACGGCGCTCGAGGAGAAGAAGCAGAAGCTGGGCGGGACGCTGTGCGCCGTGGCCGAGGTGTACATGACGGACCTGTCGTGGGAGGCGGACGCGGAGCAGAGGTGCGAGGCGCTCGTCACCGAGGCAGGACTGGTCGCGCCCGACTCGGCCGAGACGTGGCAGACGGTGGCCAACGTGCGGATATCGCAGGAGAAGATTGACGAGGCCAGGGCGGCGCTGACGAGGAGTCTGGAGCTGTGGGTCGACTTGCCGCCGCTGGATCCCAACGTCCCGGCGTTCCCTACGCGCATCAGCCTAGTGCGGCTGCTGCTCGAGGTGGAGATGGAGCAGGAGGCGATTGAGGTTCTCGAGAGGCTTGTCGGCGATGATGACCAGAGTGTCGAGGCGTGGTATCTCGGCGGGTGGGCTCTGTTTATTGCGGGCGAGAAGGTCAAAGCCAAGGGCGAGGCGGCCAAGCTGGGCGAGGACGAGGAGGACTGGAAGGTTACGTGGGATACGGCTCGGCGGTGGTTGATGCGCTGCTTGAAGCTGTACGAGGCTCAGGAGTACGAGGACGAGAGGCTGGGCGAGCACGCCAAGGAGCTGTTTGCCTCTATCAACAAGGAGCTTGGCGAGCCCCCGGCTGGCGCAGAGGATGAGGAGTACGACGATGGTTGGGAAGATGCCGGTAGTGATGATGGCGAGGCGATGGAAGAGTAAATGGCGGCATGGCATGGTTGGGCACCTTCATATAAGACAACAACGTTGATGATAAACGTTATGAACACTGGGAAATTTTCTTCATCGACTGGGCACTTGGGAGTTTGGAGTTTGGTACTAGGAAAAGTTGTCAAAAGTCATGAGGTCCCTCTTTCTCCGCAAGAGGGGTCGTTCATCGAGGCATATATAGATGAGGTTCGAGAGCCACAACCGCAACCATTTTCTTCTTCGATTGCCCATTTCCAAAAAAAAAACGCCAAGTAAATGCACTGGATTTGTTTTTTCCTTCATGACGGGTGCTATACCGCCTCAACCTTGAGCTTCTCGACACCCTCCGCCAGCCCCCCTTCTTCCTCGTCATCAAAGTCAGCCTTACTAGCGAGGCCACGCTCCCATAGTTGTCTGCCCGTCAGCTTGACCGGTTCCTTGACCTTGGCCTTCTTCAACTCGGCGAGGCGCTCCTCCTCTTCCTTCTCCTTCAACTCCTTCATCTCCTTGATGAAATCATCGCGCCACTTGAGGAACGTCTCGGGTGTCACGGGTGTTCCGTGGAACTTCTTGTTCTCCTCGCGCTCGGCGGCAGCGGCCCGCTCTTCCTTCTCCTTCTCCTTCTCCTGCTTGCGCTCCTCGACGAGCATCTCTGCTGCCTCCTTCAGAGCCGATACGAGGGAGAAGACCATAGCCATGCCTAGGTTCTCCTGAATCGTCTCCTCGAGACCTTGGAGGAGCCGCTCCTTGTCCTCCGCCACGCTGAACCACTCGTAGGGCGCGGCATCACGCACGGATTGCAGGTCGAGGGTGGGTGGCTCGTCGGGGTATGCGTCTGGGTATCGGACCTGAAGGAACATTGTTGGCGGGTCCTCCTCTTCGCCGGGGATGTCTAGGGCGATTTGTATTCTGAACTCTGTCTCTGAGATATCTGTGATCCGGGGTTTAGTGGATGGGCTGGCTCAAGGTGGCATGGTGGGGTAATCGTACCGGTGATCTCATCTGGAAAGATGGATTCGAGCACCTCGCGCTCCTCAACTTGTTCCTCGCGCCCCATTCTGAGTGTCTGTATCTTCGAGGCGCGTTCTGGGAGCTTGGGACAATGCGCTGGTTGCTGGTTTGTTACTACAAGACGCTGTTGAAGATGTAGCTGGCGGCTCAAAGATGGCCGTTGATGGCAGAGAGGTACGTACATGCACGGTGGTGGGGTGGTGAGTTGAATCCAGCTTAGCGTGGTTCTGACCGCCCGGCAATTCAAATAAAAATTTCAGAAATTCCCTAAGCAATTGCGACCGCTGTAAGTTCCCACCCGTGCAGTCCAGTCGCTCTGCTTTCTTTGTACGCCGAGAAAACGTTCACACTTTGCGATCGATATTCCGGCTGTCCACCACAACCACAACAGCCAGCCAATTCCACACAATGGCTTCCACCGGTGTCAAGAGAAAGAGTGCCCCTGCCGCTGGTAAGGGTGCTGCCGATGGCAAATTCAACAAGAAGGCCAAGGTCGAGTCGAAGAAGAAGGCCCAACCCGTCGAGACCCCCGAGGAAGACGATGAGGGAAGTTTCGAGGATGACTCTGAGGACTCGGACGACGGCGGTGTCCAGCTCACCCCTCGCGATCGTGCCCAGCAGGCTCAGGCCAAGGACAAGAAGGATGGCGCCAATGGCGCCGACAAGAACAAGAACTTTGAGAGAGGTAAGGAACCTAGGCGATGCATTGCCTGACTGGCGCAAGCTTGCGATTGTGCTGACTGTGGGATTTACAACAGGTCAAAACTCGAGAGAGTCCCATGCCATTCAAAAGAAGCTCGCCCTGGAGCGCAAGATGGCCAAGCCCCTCGCCGACGAACTCGCTCGAACCAAGAAGATCTGGGAGAGGTTGAGGAGGAAGTCCCACGTTCCGTCCGAGGAGCGGAAGCAGCTAGTCGATGAGCTCTTCACCATCATCACCGGCCGCGTCAAGGAATTCGTCCTCAAGCATGACGCCACGCGCGCTGTTCAGACCGCCCTTAAGTACGCCACGGCTACCCAACGGAAACAAATTACCCGCGAGCTGCAGGGCACCTACACCCAGCTTGCCGAGAGCCGGTATGCCAAGTTCCTCATCGCTAAGATGGTGGTGCAGGCCGACGGCGAGATCAAGGACCTCATCATCCCCGAGTTTTACGGTAAGGTGCGGAAGTTGATCAACCACCCCGAGGCTTCATGGATCTTGGACGACATCTACAGACAAATCGCGACGAAGGAGCAGAAGGCCATCCTTCTGAGAGAATGGTACGGACCCGAGTTTGCCCTCCTCGAGCGCAGCAAGGACGAGAAGCCGACTTCCGACCTCGCGACTATCCTCGAGCAGAACCCCAGCAAAAAAGCCTACATCCTCAAGAGTCTCAACGACATGATCAACTCGCTGGTTCAGAAGAAGATGACCGGTTTCACGATGCTTCACGACGCCATGTTGCAGTACTTCCTCAATGTCGAGCCCGGCACGGAAAACTTCAACCTGTTTGTTGAGATGATCAAGGACGACGAGGAGGGTGATTTGCTGAAGAACATGGCCTTCACCCGCTCTGGATCCCGTTTGGTGGCTCTGCTTCTGGCCCACGGTTCCTCCAAGGACCGCAGAAACTTGCTCAAGGCATACAAAGACAACTTCGTGCTGATGTCGGGTGACCCCAACGCTCACATTGTGATCCTCACCGCTTTCGATGTCATTGATGACACGAAGATGTCATCAAAGGCCATCTTCCCCGAGCTGATTGGCGACGACAAGGAGAAGGCGACAGACAACATCGTTGTTTCTACATCAAATCCCTTCGCCAAGGCCACGCTTCTGTATCTGTTGGAGGGCCAGACCCGCGCCCTCTTCTCCGACAACATGAGCGACGACCTTGCGATTCTCAAGGAGGTTCATGCAATTCGCCAAACCACCAGTAAGAAGGACGCCGAGATAAGAAGGAAAGAGTTGGTTGCTGTTATGTCACCTGCGCTCATCACTGCCGTTGTCGAGGCTGCACCGGCTTTGGTCGCAGACCCCTTCGGTTGCCAGCTGGTTGCGGACGTGCTGCTCTCTGCGGAGGGTGACAAGACGGCAGCTCTTGAGGCCGTAGCAGCGGTCGCTGAGGGCGACCCTGGCGCGGAGCCCATGGAGATAGAAGGTGTCCCTACCCCTGTCCACGTCTCGCGGACAGCATTTGGAGGCCGGTTGATCAAGACGCTTATTGCAGGAGGCAAGTTCAACAAGGAGACCGGCAAGGTCGAGCCCGTTGACCCGCCATTGAAGTTCGCCGATATCCTGTACCCGATCATCAAGGACTATATTGTGGACTGGGCCACGGGCCCAAGTTCCTTTGTCGTTCTCAACATGTTGGAAGCCGAGGACTTTAGCCATGCTGCTGAGCTGAAGAAGACGCTCAAGAAGCACAAGAAAGACCTGCAGAAGGCTGCCACTGAAGAGACGGCCGAGCAGAAGGAGGCCAAGGAGGCCAGAGCCCAAAAGGATAGCGAGAAGGGCGAGAAGGGCGCAAAGAAGGGCAAAAAGGGTGCAAAGAAGGCAGACAAGCCTGTAGGCAACCTTGGCAGCAAGCTTCTGTTGGAGAAGTTGTAAGCGATACCGTATAAAACGTAACCGGACTGGCGAGCCAAAAGTTCTTCCCAATGTTTTGAAATACCCACACAGGCGTGGCAGTCTGACTACCTGGTGTGTCGATGGCGTGCAATAGGTTTAGCTGGAGTGGTGGCATTAATAGATGGAGTTGGTTTGGCTGGTTTTTGATTCAAAGCTTTTGGGCGTTGCCCGCCCATCGAGCGGGGACATGTTTTCTCCATCGCAACCGTCCTTGATTGAGATCTAGCCGCGCATCTGAGCCTTTCCCGTCGGCTAGGGGCCACCCGTTTATGCCGGCCACTGTCTCGGACCGTGACGCGGTGGCAGAAGTAACGGGTCTGATGCATTTGGCATTCGGGCTTGTGCGACGTTGCTGTTCCGTTTCCGTCTTCTGGTGATTCTGGCCCTTGCGTCTTTTCGCGAGGGGCGACATTCGACCCATACCTAGCGAAGCACTCATCCGCGAGCAAACACCAACGCAGTCGTCCCCCGAACGCGGCGGGCAGGGCCATGAAAGAATCACGGGCCAGAATCGTTCTGTAGTACAAAATGACGTTTACTGAACGTCCCTGTCTAAGACGTGGGCACCTTAGATTCCCGTGTAAGTGCAAGCCGGGGACTGTAGTGCTGCCTTGGCGGGATCGTCAGTCCGAATTTGAATGCCTTCAAGCACTGCATGAAAAGGGTCAACATTCACCGGGTCACCCGAGCACATAGGCCAGTGTGATGAAAGAGGAAGGTACGTTGCAGGCAGGTAGGTAGCTACCTCATGGTAGGCAAGGTAAGGCAGGCACGAGATGAGGCCGGTCACACAACCGTCCCTTCCTTCCTTCCATCCCAAGTGACAGACCGACAACAACCCACCGCCCGTTGAAAGCTCCTTCCCGCCCTCCACCTTGCCTCGGAAAAACTACTCCAGCCTGTTTACATACCTATCACTACTGAGTTGGCAGTGCGACATTTCTCTCCTTCGCTGATTCACTTTGAAGGAATTCCGTCTTGTTACCTACTCCAAAGTTTCTCATCGTCGCTCATTTATCACACCTCCATTTTGCCTCATCCTTCGCCATTACCATCACCATCGTCATCGCAGCCACTGTTTCGATGGTGGCACACAACTTATTGACCCATTGACTGTGTCAAAGGTTTCCTTTGCTTATCACGATACCGGTTGATCTGTTCGAGAAGGAAAATAGTAAACCGCCATCATGGGCGGCTTCATTCCCGCGAGAGAGGCGAAGGTATGCCCGATCGGTTCATACCACTACACCTGCTCTGGCTTCGAGGGTTGCTGCGAGGTGAACCCTTGTGAGACTACCAGATGCCCAGACGAGTACAACCCTTACTTGACTGCGACTGAGCTTCAGGCCCAGAAGACCATCGCATCTGTCGCCGCGCCGGTCTTGGTCTCCCCCACCTCATCCTCGTCGAAGGCATCCTCCGCTACCACTGACAAGAAGGCTCAGGCTTCGACCTCCTCTGACAATCCGACTACCACCTTCAGCTCGCCCGAGCCGACCGCAACCGGAGGTATTTGGCTCACTGACGGTCGTGGTTCTCCAGCTTCTACCATCGCCTCCGGTGATTCCACCGGAACTCCGTTCTATGTTTCTCCCCACACTTACACCCCAACAGCCCCTGTCGAGACCCAGGCCATCGACGCTTCGGCTCCTGCCTTGGCGGTCAAGTCTGATCAACATGACCTCCCGGTCGCTGCGCAGGCTGGCATCGCCGTTTCTGCTTTGGTGGTGATCTGTATGGTCATCGCCGCCTACTTTCTGTGCACCAAGCAGAGAAAGAAGCTCAGAGCTTCTCGAGAGTCCATCAGCTCCATTGGCAAAGACGGACGCAAGCACAGCTCAGAGGACGAGACCAGCCAGCCGGCCATGACTACCAATCCGTTCTGCCCTGAGGAGGTCTTTTCCCCCTATGGAAGTAAGCTGCTTTCTACTATCCACCATTGTCTAAGAGAAAGGAAGCTGACAACTAATCAGGACGCTACGAAGAGCCTCAAACTCGCTTCAACCGAGTTAATGATATGAGTGCCAGTCGCATGATGAATCACCCGGTTAGTCCCGATACCCGCGATTCGATGTCTATACGGATGGCGCCGCCGCCGATTCCTTCTCCTGCGATGTCACCTGGCACATTCAGAGCTACGACAGCCAGCCCCGACTTCTTGTCTCGCACCGCAACAACAACTCCCGACGTGGGCTATCGCACGGCCAATTCCACTCCTGACTTCACGTCCCGCATGACAACCCCGGACTATATGTCTCGGCTGGGTACTGCTACCCCTGAGCTCCATGGCCCCCCTCAGCAAGCAGCCATTGCTGAACTGGCTTCTCCTGGTCTGCCAAAGGTTGTCGAGATCCACAGCAGTCGTAGCGGCTTGCAGAAGTACAAACCGTACCGCCCCGACGGTGGCTCACTCTACCCTGTGGCGGAGACCACTCCCAGCTACCTCACCGGTACCCTGAACGCCACGGAACATGAGCGTTCTGAGGGTAGGTACGTGACTAGTTGGTCAAAGTGGGATCCTGCTGCCTGAGAGCAAGTCAGCCGATACTGCTTGAAATCTTGAGGTTTCGTTCTGGTTCTGAGGAGAGGAAAGGAAATGGTTTCGGATTTCGGATTTCGGCTTCTGTCAGGCGTTGACGATACCCAGGCTTGCTTTTCGGATACGCGATTGCCTGATCTTGCTGGTTCTTGTCAGAGTAAATTCAACGCACAATTGGGATGGTTCAAATGGAAATGCAACAAATGGAAATGGGATTGGAGATTGAGATCAAAAGGTCGACCATAGCTAGGCCTATTAATAGTTATCTCTACTCCCTTCAATGAAGAAAATGAAGAATTCAACTCACCATGCTACTATGACCAGTGCCTACTCTAGGTCCATTAGTGATCAGTGAACGCCTTAAACAACTACCTCTGAAGACTATTGCATCGTTTTAGGAGTATGGATATGAACCCCGTTTGCCGAATTCATGGGTATTTGGTATTCAACACATACTTTAAAGACAATCTGATCCCCTTCCGATTTACGCCAAACATGCAGTATATGCTTCTTGCGCAGAAGCACTTCCATAGCCATTCCATTTTCTCTTTCCTTGCCCTAAAACCATTGGCCATGCTCACTTCCTCATTTCCAACCGCGGAACAGCGTCATGAGCGATGGAGCAAGGGTGACTTTATTGGGACTGCCCAGCTCCTGACACCCCAACTCTCCGGTCTCTGCCCCGCCCGCCGGGCTGTGGTGCAATGTGTCTTGAGGTCAAGCCCGTCATCTGCTTTGAAGCTTGCTGATCTCATCGAGGAGTATTTGGAGATCATCGTCGGAGATCTTGTCTTGTAGGGACGGAATGAGTGTCTTGGCTTCTTCGGCCGTTTCGCAACAAAGCGACCCTAAAGAAACAAATACGGTTAGCATTTCCATCACTTCCAATCCAGTAAGTCACCCATTGGACTGGATTGGGCGCGGACCTATTTGTGCACGTTCAAACTTGGCGAGCTGCTTGTGTGCGGAGAGCAGTCGCTCGACGGCCTCGACATTCTCTTTCTGGCGGAATCGGGAGAAGGCATCCAGGTAGTTGAGAGTCTGTGTCAACATCCTACACAGAGAGAGAAAGAAATTGTCAGCAGTCTGAGAAGGCACAAAGAAGTGTGGTGACGAAGGGCATCGCTCAGAGAGCAAGTCGCCATTGTGCATTGGACGTACTCGGTCTCGTTAATGTTCTTGCGATCCATCTTGCGCTTGGTCACGAGCGCGTTGATGACGAGTGATGCTTCGGACAATGTGAGCGTGTCGACGTGTTGGAATTCGCCGAGGTTGAGGATGGACGATGCCTCCTCGCTGCCCGGGGGAGGGGGCTTCGGGCGCGAGGTGGGAGCGTGATGCGACATCTTTTCTGATTCTTTGCGACTCGTGGTCGTTGATTCGAAGAGTGGGAAACTGTTCAAAAAGTTCGCGCTGTTCAGGAAACAGAGGGTCGGCCCTTTGCCGAAGGACCAGATGTCGCGTTGATTGCGGGGGATTTGGATAAGACGAATGGATTCGCGGGGGTGTGTGGTAATGAGCAGCCGTTGTCGGCGGAAGCTGGAGGTGAGAAGAAGGTGGGTTGTAGATGAGGCTGAGAATTTCCCAAAGGCGGGTGCTATGTCTTGGGAATGCCACCCCTGGTGCTTGCCTTGTCGCCCAGTGCAGGAAGATCCAGGTCGGGGAAAAAGAAGAGGATGTGTCCCACCGAGCGCGCCTTCCACTGTTTTTGGGGCTAGTGCAGGCACCAGAAGGGGGCGCGGGGGGCGTTTATCCAGGGAGCTTGGTGTGGATTTAGCGACTGGGGACTCGTGTGCGCGGAAAGGGTGAGGTGTGCGGAAGGTACCTGTCTGGGCTGGCTGGCAAGAGGACCGGTACGAAGTACCAGGTCCCTCACCCACATCTCCTAAGCTACCTAACCTGAGGCCAGATGGGAATATCGAGAGCGACTGTATGAGTGCATGCTTCAGATATCGCATCGATGAGAACAATCTCAGATAATAACCATATTTCTCTTCCCAAGAGTCATTAGCTTTGAGTTGGTTCGACTACTGAAATTATGTAAGCTCCCTCTGGCCCCAAGTTAGGAAGGCCATTCACTGACCTCGGCGACAGGACCGTCTTTGCGCTCATCGTGATCAACAAGGCCGGAGGCTTGATCTACAACCGCACATTTCACGAGGGCGGCCTCAACCAACTGACGACAAATGACTATCTTGTGTTGGCAGGAACGTTTCACGGGTAAGAACACAAATGCCCTCAGTCGTTCATAGTGAGGGGGAAATGCTTACCCAACGTTCAAAAGCGTCCATGCTATCACCGCCCGGCTCAACCCTCTGATGAGCCGGCAAGATGCTGCAGCCGCTGCAACCGCAGCCAGCGTGACCGCGGCGGGCGGAATACCTGCACGGCCTGAGCCGCCAACGGGACTAGAGGTCATGGAGACGGAGAACTTTAGGCTGCAGTGCTTCAACACCATGACAGGCACAAAGTTCCTGCTCTTCACCGATACGACTCAGACCAACATCGACGTAACGCTTCGGAGGATATACGACCTTTACAGCGATTACGTCATGAAAAACCCGTTCTATCAGCTCGAAATGCCCATCCGCTGCGAGATGTTTGAACGGAAATTGTTATCATACATCCGGGAGATCAACAATCGATAGGTTCAGAGCAACGTCGCCACGGATGATAGACAAAGCGATGGAGATGATGATTCATGGGAGTCTGATTTCGTTTGGGTTGGGTAACGCTCATTGCGATACGGCGTTTGCAGGAGTCAGAGGCCCTTCTATTGCGCAGCATGTTCCTCTAGGACCAAGCCAATATTCTATTTTACATACTCGAGGTAGTGATCAGGCGAAGAACGAGTTAGAGACAACACAAAACATCTGTTTACGAAGTGTCCATCGAGTCGTCGTCCTTCTTGTCCTTCTTGCTGCTTGACTCGCCATCCTTGCCGAGGAGAGGCGCACCCTCGCCCTCTTCCTTAATGTCCTCAAGAGATCCTTTCTGGCCGGACTCGGCCTCCTCGCGGGCCTTCTTCTCCTGCCGCGCCTTCTCGTCCTCCATACTCATGCGAAGCGCAAGTGCCAGCTCCGGGTCCATGGCAGGGTCGAAGTCGAACTCGCCAAAGTTGCCGCCTCCGCCGCCACTTTCCATGCCGCTGCCACCGCCGCCGCCACCACCGCTTCCGCCAGCATTGTCTCCGAGGAGGATCGGGCTCGAAATGAGCTGGTCGCTAAGAAGCTTGCTGCTTGGGGGAATGACGACGAGGTTGGAGCCCTCACCACCCTTGACGCTCTCGTTGAATGCTTGCAGCTTCTTCTGCGTGTCGTCGTCGTCCAGGTCGCCGAACAGTACGAAATCGACCGAAACGTTGCCCTTCTTCATCTTCTTGGCCAGCTGAACTAGCTTCTTCTCTTCCTCCTCGATGGGCGAGCAGACGAAGACGATTATCCGTTGCCGTTGGGACTTGTTCTGACGGTGCTTAAGGGCAAGCTGATGGACACATTAGCAAAAGCTTCGATGGCAAAGATGACAGCGTTTATACTCACGCCGGCAACCTGAATTCCAGTGGCAAGGTGTGATGTTCCCTTGATCTTGGTCTTCGTGCGGTGCAATCCATCCAGGATCTTGCCCTGGTCTGTCGTGAGGGTGACCAACACCTCGGGGCCCTTGCCACCCATGCTCATCAGGCCGACCGAGGACTCGGGGTTTCCATTTGTGATGGTCTGGAAAATAACGTTGACGGCGTCCGCTTGAGAGTCGTATCTTGTCGGTTGGTAATCACCGTTACGACTGCTTTCGCTGTTGTCGACAACGACCATCACCGCTTCGAGGACCATCTTGACGGTTCGGGCGGGGCACCGGCGTGTATTGCAGGAGGGAGGTTGTAATGTGAAATCTGTGGAGTCCGAATATTTTCTGATGTCGTGGACGAGGTTGGAATCGCTAAAGTGTCCGAGGATGGCGGTGTTGAGTGGTGTTTGATCGTGCGAGCTTCGGATGGGAAAGGGAAGCTTGGTGTTCAACGTGGGTTAAGGTAGGCAGGGTGGGAGAGCTCCTGCGTAAGGCAGTTCAGCCTGGTGACGCTGGTTGCGTGAGGTGCGAGTAGAGGTACCTGAGAGTAAGGGGAGTCGTTGCGTGATTGTAAGTATCGAGACTCCGGGCCAAGCGCCTTGACAAACGTTCGTATCAGGAAGTTACACTGTGTAAATATGAGCCCAGCAGGGCAAGATCCGAGTATGTACCATAAATGTCCCAATCTAGACCCTCTGTACTCTGCACTTCTACAAACCTCACCATGCCAAATGCGAACGACGATTCTTCAGTTCTCCGTATCTGCGATCTCCGAAGGTGTGCGCTGATTCCAGGAAATAAGTTAGACGCGTTGATAGGACTGCATCTGATTGTACGGATTCGGATTTCACCTGCTCCCATGAAATACACAGGGCTACCTAGGTATGGCTGCCGATTTTAGGTGGGACCTTTGGAGATCCATGAATGGCCGGGACTGGCCAAGCTCCCATTGGCTTAGGTAAGGGTCTTCCGCTGTCACGTTTGTTTACTTTCTGGAGCACTAGCCACTCATAATAGAGCCTCTGCCCCATCATCCTTAGCTCCATCAACTTTCACACTCCCGTCGCGGTCAGGCACGTTGCTCCAGCGTCAAACGCTTTCACCCACAACGACTAGCAATCTTCAGCAGACGACATGCCTCCCGCGCGAACGAACAAGAGAAACTCTGATGAGATGGAGCAGCAGTCTACGATGTCACAGAGACAAATGGTATCGGCCAAGGCTAGCACGCCTCCAATGCTAAGCAGCAGCCCGAGCAAGCGGCAAAGACTTGGAATCTCCCTGGAGCAAAAACAGGCAATCATCGATAACCTGCAGTTGGAGAGTCAGTAAATCCTTTATGCTTTTGACCGCGTCATCTAAATATTCTATAGTCACCGATCGCGCCAGGCGACTGCGCGCGCAATACAACCAGCAGGCACAAACCCTTCGATCACGGATCCAGATGCGCGTCAATCGTGTTCCCAGAGCCATGTTGAAGATGACCATGGCCGACCTGGTGGCTAGAGCCATCGAACAACAGAAACGTCTTGAGGCCGCTTCGCGCCCGCCACCTGTTCCCGAGAAGGACTTTCCACCACGGGGGAGCCCGCATAAGCTGGCACCGCCAGCCCGCCCTGCCAAGCGTTTGAGGTTTGTTTACACATGGAATCATGGTATTTTGCCTTACTGACACAATATTGCAGCGATGCTATCGCGGGCGGAGACAAGGAAAACGAGCAAATTCTCAACCCCAAGAAGAAGCACCGTGCTGCCCCAGCGCCATTGAGTTCGTCGCAAGTCCTGTCGCCCACCTCATCCAACACCCGATCGTTGGCACGCGAGCGACCGCCTTCCTCGCCGTCGAAATCCTCCCAGATTGCGCGACCGACGTCGTCTCCCGTTAAGCAACATAACAGCGCCCGGTCAGCTCTGTCGAGTATGGTGGAGAAGGCGAAGAAGACTAGTCGTACAGCTCCCTCGCGTCCTTTGAATGCATCAACGGCCAGCTCGAACGCATCGGCGCCTGCACCTGCTACGGGAACGGCGCCTCCCACACGAACGCGACGAGCCAACACGACCACAGCAGCTAAAGCTCCGTCACGACCTGGAACGCGGACGGGCAAGCGAGTCAGCGACTCGAGTGAGGGCAGCACCGGAACAGTAGTCAAGAAGACAGCAGCAGGAGCACCCGCGAAGAGAACCGTAATGGGCACAATCAGAAAGGGAGTTGGCGCAGCAACTGCCAGGAAGCCCGCAGCGCCCAAGTCGGCTCCGGCATCTGCGGCGAGTACCACTAGAGTACTGCGGAAAAGGGGTTAGGTCTGCGAGGATTTAGAGGAGCAGCCATTCGTTATCTTGATGCCGTCACTTTCATGGCGGGGCGTTTGCTGGGCGTGGGCGTACTTGGGCATAATCACTATGGGTTAGATTTACATGGCGTATTGGGAATAATGACAGAAACATGATGACGGCCAGGCATACTCAATTGATGGATTACGCCTTTCAAGGCTCAAGCTGTCGGGGCAGCCTTTTTCTTCTTGTCCTCGACCAACTCAATGTTATCCTCGGGTATCTCCTTATACTTTTCCAACAAAAACTCCTCAATCTCGTCGCTGACATCTCCTTGAACGACAATCTCCTCGCTGCCGCTTGGGGTCTTGGTGACGGACGAGCCAGTCGCAAACTTCTTTCCAAACTCCTTGGCAACCTTCTTATTCTCGAGACCGAATGACTCGAGGCCAGAGACTGACGTGACGTACTTTCTTTTGTTGCGCTCGATCCGCTTGATAGTGACCATGCTGTTGGCCAACTTGTCGGCTTGCTTGGCCTCTGCAGCTTCGGCCTTGGCAGCCTTCTTCTGTGCGTCTTTGGCGGCTCGCTTCTGGGCGTCTACTGAAAGGGATGCGGTTGCTTGTTCAAGAGCCTCTGTGGATGAAGTTGTGAGCATCTCGTCCCAGTGGCTTGGAGGTGCGGGACCTCATACCTGCTGACCAGATTCTCGCATAAAGGTCGGGATGCTTCTTCTCCAGCCAGTCCTGGCACTTCTTTACGGTGCCTCCATACTCACAGTACTAAATCGGGGCAGTTTCAATAAGTATCCCGAAGGCTTGCGGCATTTCGATTAGCCATGACGTACCTCTGGAGGAAGAGTGCAGACTACACGTGGGGCAACAGGTCAATATCGCGCCTCGAGAATTTGTATTTTCTGGAAGTCAAGTTTGGGCGTGTTGACTTACCACCGCAGTAGGTTACATGGCGGCCTTGAGGCTCACCAGAGGTTTCTGACTTGTCATTGTCGGCCATCACGATCTGAAAGGGCCGTTTGTGACAGCAAAAAGGGTCGCTCGGAAAGGATGTGAAGCGGAGGAATCGAGTAGTTAAGGAACGCGTGCCTCTCTCTCTTCTCGGTCTTCCAAGGACGGCCGACTGCGGGGTTGATTTCGATGGCGGGGCAATGGATCAACTGCCACAGCAGACCACCTCACCTTTGCTGCTTAGGTAATTGAGGTGGCTGGTGATGTCGGAGGGGCAGGTAGGTATAGCTCCAGCCACAAGGAAGTTGACTGGCGCCGACCGTGCTGCCGCTGTCATGGAATGTCAAGCTCCAATTCACTTCCCCCACAGACATCACCAACAAGACGTGAACTCGGCATGCAAGTGATTCAACCTGCATCAACACCCCCGCCGCTCGCCGTTCGCATTCGGCGATGGTCTACGGAGCACTCCTCATGTGTTTCTCAAGGTGAGGTCACCGCCTTTGCTCGTGGCGGGACTGAAACGGAAAATTGTAGCATGAGAACGTTGACGCCCAAGCCTGAGCTCGGCGCACGCTGCTACACGGATCGAGCAGTCAAGACCGATATTTCACCACATTCTTGCATGAAGAGGCCGTATGAGCTCCATGCGACGGTCAATAGTTTGTTCTCCGCAAGGCCAGCTCAGAGACCTTTCAACTACTAGATGTAGCTTCGTCAAGTGACCAGCCATCCAATCCAGGTCGCTTCTAAGCGCCCGCTGAGCGCCTGTCATTATCATTGGTCGGTGGCACGATAGTTCTGCGTCCCCAATCAGGCTTGCTCCCACCTTCCCGCCTCCCGTCTTC